TCTATAGTTATTCAACTGAAATTTTATGGGATGTTGTTAACATAGCAGCGGAGGAAGTCAACGTGATATTGTGCAGACACATTATCAGATATTTGAAATATACGTAATTTATTTAAGCCTATTCATAGCAAAATACAAATTATTTGACTTGCGCCGGGTGCTCGTCAATACCGATTTTTTTTATGTAACTAGAGTTAATATTTGTAAATGAGTTGTTGTTACATAATATAATGAATTTATAGGTTATATTTGTGAATTATTTTATATTGGCGTCGTTAAAATGAACCGTGTATAAAATATGCCACGGACTTTTGGGACAACCCTCGTATATATCAATTTGAAAACGCTTCAAGTATAGGTAGTAATGGAGTAAATATCATTTACATTATTCTGTTATTCCACAGGGAAATCAAATTGTTTTATTATCTGAGGTAAAACTGATTATACAATTGAATTTTGAATTACTGACACATTGTAGAAACTTATAGCGCCTAAACAAAGTATAATTTTGTTGTTTTTTGTATTATTTTATCATATCTATGATGTATAATAATGAGATAATGCTGTTTCAACGTTTATTAGCTGATCCCCTGAGTTGTGTGAGTTGTCCACTGTGAATTGCTGTTAAGGACATGTTTCAAAAATATGTTTAAATGTTCAACACTTTGAGTTGACAAACTATAACTTATTTATATCAATTTGTGCAATGCTTCTTATAAATTGCGATACTGTATTACAATCGCCAAAGTGAACTTAGAAATTAGCATTAAAATGTTTTAGATAAGGGTCTGGTTATTCAATCTATATATCAAATGTTACGAAAAGAATATAAAATTACATTAAAAAGAACTTTTCCTAAAATTCCTTTTCCAATTTATCATAATTCTAGTGTTTTCACCACAGGCAAGAAATGCCTTTTTACAACATTAAATATATATTAAACAAATTTTAATCTTATCTCGTTATATTATGTGACTAATATCCCGCAAAACATTCGTCTTAGACACAATACTGAATAATTGATGCGTTCATTAAATTTGTTCAAAGAATATTGATAATTCTTGAATCACATGAGTTACCTTTATGTTTTTATGATTTTCTGGTTGTACATGATTCTTTTAATATCGTTCTGTGTCTACATTATGCTTGCACTGTCGTATAATTTTAAGGTTTTTGTTTTTGTTTTTTACAGCATATAACAGACAGAAAATACCATATAAAAATTATCCTCATGTGAAAGACAATACAGCAACAAATCGCTTGCTTCTTTAAATAAAATTTAGTACAGTAGAAGTATAATATATAATTATAATCAACTTATGTCACCCCGATCAAAATTATCATTCAACCATTACTATGTCACAACGACTGTTAACATTAATTCAATGATGTTTGAGAACTTTGATGTTATCAAGAAATAAATTTTGAACCACTTCAATTGTGATCAATATAAAACAAAACAAACACACAAAGATTATATTCTAAGGGATATTTATTGAAATTATTACACTGTCTAGTGTCACTAAGGTCCTTGAGAACTAAGATTTTATTTGGAATTATTCTCACTGTTAGTTAAAGTGCATCTCTGGTGACTATATCCTACAGGAAAAATATTTGTGTACGGAACTAGTGATACTGTCATTTGGCTTGTGACTTTAACCTTTAGGACAATTATATAACCCGGGTTATACTGTAATGGTGAATTTGACCTTATCCTGTCCGTGCCCTGCTGGTCTCATTTCCGGTGGACCTGTTGCTTGTTCATATGGGGGTTGCGTTCATTGAACGCCGCCTTTCCTTGTTGATCTTGTTTATCATATTTTCTGTTGTTGTGCTTGCCTTCACTGAATACCCTTCTTTGCTGATCTAATTTTTTCATATTTTAACCTTAAGGACAAATATGTAAAAATAGTAATACTGTCAACTTGACTTTATTCTTAAGGACATAAAAGTTACCTCACTTAAACTGTCAATGTGACTATTACCTTAAGAACAAAATATGTTACCTTGGTTATAGTGCCACTATGACTTTATCCTCGAGAACAAATTAATTGAGAAGGGTCTAATGTCACTTTGTGAAACTTCATTATCTTTTTCGCGAAATAAACATTATGAAATGCACATTCTAAATTAATACTTCTTATCTGTTGTGAAAAAAGGCATTTTTATCTATTCAACCGTCGTATCAAAATTATTCTTTTTGCATGTTTCGAAAATATACCTTCACTATTTGATAATGTCAATCGATTGTAAAAGTTTTGTTTGCTGTTGAGATTGAATGCTACAAAATGGAGTGGAATTATTGGATTTTCTTCCTAAAATGTAAGGTAGTTACACACTGTATTCAAGTCGGACATCTGTGCCTAGAAAACAACGCAACTAACAGTAACATTAAATTCATTTAATACAACGTAATATTATTGTTTGGATAGTTGATGGATTTCTAGATAAGGTACCATCTTCGTTCATTTTGACTTTTTCCCATTTTACAGCTTTTGTAAAATAGTAGAATATGATTCATTTAAATATGACAATTAATGTATAGCAGCATCAATGGAAATAAAACTATTTTGCGAGTATTTTGTATGTAAATTTTAAGTTATCTATTTACTAATGAAACTTATGCAATATGCAGCATTAACTAGTGATAAAAACTTCACGACTATATTCTCGACTTTATACTAAATTGAAAAAAAAATATATATACTTTTAAAATTCCAATTCAACATTTAGTATGTACATACTTGAACCTTACTTGAGCATTATTTCATTTGAAATACAAAAAAGCAAAATTTGCACATAATCTTACGTCCGGACATGTGTATGAAATAACAATTTATTAAAACCCTAAATGTCATTTTATCTATTCACATATAAAGAGTAAAGAAATAGTGAAATCATTTTAAAATGATACCATTTTTTTTTGATTCGGAAAATATAGAAAAGAAATACCTTTTCTGTTGCATGTGTAATGAATATACGCTTCTCTTGCTAAGTGAATTAAATTTTATCTTTTAATTCAAATAATCAATCTATAAAATCCTGCGAAGAGCAAGCAGTATTACCATTTATATTGATTAAACTTTACGTATCAATTATTTAAATGTATAAAAACAGGTTAACCTCGCTATCAGATCAATATACTCTGTTTTATCAACCGCTAAATGTTTGTTGACAATTTTCCACTTGCAATAAAGTCTTTATTGTTATAAAGTCAGATTTGTTTTGGATGACCATTTGAGAAATTTAACCTTCACAAATAAAAACAGTTTCCAGTTACAAATGATCATTTTATTTAGAATTCAGTGTGTGAATATTATGACAAATTGTATGTTATTCACATGTCAACGCATTATCTTATTAGGTTCTGGTAATTAAATTATGTTCATGTCACAGTAAATAATATGCTATCTTTATTCTTACCAAAATGGCAAGACCTATAAAGATATACTTACTGTTTTTACCGCCTTTGAGTTTATATGATGCCTTTATTACAAAGGGCAATATGTAAAATAGTAACATATTCCTCACATTATAGCTCTTAAATAGTTTACAAAACCTATGCTTATATTTCATCATAATTATATGATAAGAAAATGCTTTTTCAATGTCTACACACATTTCTAAGTCTGATTTATAGCAAATGTAATATCGCTAGCTTGCTACAGCTGTAACAGCTCCATATTCCTACTGATTTCTTCCATTTTAAATACAATTCACAAGGTCGAGAGAGGAAAACATCCAGAAAATTAAGTTATATTAGCGTGATCATATAGCTCTTCCTGTTTAAACAATTAGTGTTTCATTATTCAAGTCAACAAATAACATTAAGAACAAGATAATTTCACAAATATCCTGAAAGGTCAGTCTTAATACTGACTAAATAAAAGGTTTAAAGGCAATAAATGTATGGTAAATGTCAACATGTGTTGTCAGTAAATGTTGGTAGTTATCTTACCTATATGTTAGTGAAGATTTTCTTAAAATGCATTTTTGTTTTGTTTTTAATATTGCATGCATCGTTCAGTAATTATTTACCTTTATACATTACTAACTTTCATCAAATACTCTTCGAAAATATTTGTTAATATAGTGATTTAGAGAACGGTGCTCTCCGTTGTTGTTCTTTCTTTTAGCATTTTACATTTAAATTATTTATCCTTCGAACATAAAGAAACACATATCCTCTCAAGTAAAACAATATTAATTTCAAAATAAATGTATTGCTAAATAAAAACTTTAATTTGTAGGATACTCAAAGAATCAAGTTTACAAAATGTTTGCTTGACCGTAGCAATATAATAAACTAAACAAAATATGGAAGACTCCCTTTAAAGTTAAATAACAATATGAAGTAATATATAATTTCGATCATTCATTCATGAATGGACCTTTGATTACAAGTCTCTAGTGTACTAAAAATCGTCGTATATACTGGTCCAATGAAAATTGTTACAGACAACATTTATCATAGAGACGAGTGGATTGTTTACTCTATCATATTGTGTTAATTTTGCCGTTGCAGGTGAAAATATTCATGGATTTCCATAAACTTAAAATTGGTCTATTTTAGTATTTTGACTGGAGGGGTCAATATGATAGACCAATTTTCTTTTTTAACCATTTCAGTTCAAATTAATGTATATCGCAAATACATAATTCAACAATTCACAAGAGCTCTGATGCGGTGTTGTCATATTATGTAGCAAACGTTTACTTTTATTCAAGCATTAAGTATTTCTGCGATTTCTGTGAACTTCTAAAGTATTTCATTTATTGGTAACAGAGAAATGTTTATCATTGATTCGTTTATCGTAAAATAAACATATTTGTCGGATTGTCAATAATTGTCAGCAAATGCAGATTGCCTCCGAGGGAATCATAAGTTATTACCTTTCACTTACAGATGGAAATTGCACAAACTAAAGCCGCCTAGCAGGTGAATTAATTATGTAACAGTTTTAATGAACATTGGTGACATTTTATATGTTTATTTTCAGATGGAGTATAAATTCATCGAAGGTGTATGATCATTTTCATTATTTAGACTGGGACTAACTTGTGATTCCGGGATGAAACAGTTAATTTTACAGACGGGTTGTCAAGGAGATGCTGCTGCATTAAACTCTACTGGTACTTCATCATTACTTAAAGTATTACAAGGTTGTGCACAAAATGATTCTGCAGTGCCTGTGTTTATCAACATAATTGAAACTGAGCAAAACAATAGTGCCGAGGCAGATTCAGGAGCAGTCATGTATATCATTGCAGTGTTAGTGTTTTATTCTGCAGGCATTGTCACAATGATTATAAAATATCTTCGTAGAGAAAAAAGAGAGTTAGAGGAAGAAAGAATTCTGGAAGACTTCTTCAGAAGTATGCCTGCATATAAAAAAGAACGGGAGCAAAATAATGTAAATCGTGTTGCTATACATGCCTTTCATGCTCTGACGTCATTTTCTTATGACGACGGGGATTATGATATTGTTAGTACTGACGATGAAGACACTCGTTTGACAACAAATCGTGAAGAAACAATTCATGAAGAAGAAAACGAACATTACACGTGTAATCAAGATGTGACAGTTAGAAGTGAGTTAAAAGAAGACGTTTTGCAAGGGGAACGACATAGTGATTCGATGCCAGAACCATATAATCCATTATGTAAACAGTCTTGCATAACATATGATGAGCAAGAAACAAAACTTTGATTTGCATAGACATATATATTCAGCATCTTCATCGAGGTATTTGAAAACGTGGCCTTTAATGGGATGATTGGTTTATTTGCAGTTTTGTAAGATAACAGTAAGATAATGTATGTTATTGTAGCTCAAAGTGTGCACATGGAATAAAAGTAGTGTTCAAAGAGTATGATAATATTCAAATAAAAATACAACACTGATATCATCCCTTCAAGATTGATGCAATTAGATCAAAAATTGAAAGGGCAATTATTTGGGGTATTATTGAAATATGCGTTTCATAACCTTACATTTTTAGTGTATTTCACAACTGGGGTCTTGGAATTTATTATATTGCACGATCGTAATGTCGATAATGATGTTTATATTATGTACATACACGACCAGTTTAAATATATTAATTACTTTTCAGTTTTATAATATAGTAAGAGTGCAGTATTGTATTTGTTTTAGATTTTCGACGTGTTAAAGACTTTACCTAATGGTTCTTAGTATATACAAGATAAAATGTGAGCATGTAAGGTAAGAAATGTTGCACTCTCTGTTTTGATGAGACTGTTCATGGGCGGTAGTAGTGTATTCAGGCTACTGGCAATGCAACTTTGTAGCAATAAAACCCAACTTGGAAACGATGAATTATTATTCAGAATTTGGAAACTCCGGTTGTGTGTTTGTAATTAAAAAAGCAGACAATCGTTTAAACTGGTCAAATAATTGATACTGTATAATGATAAATATTATTTTTGATAAGCTCAAAACTTGAAAAAAATAATACACAGCTACATAGAGAGGGCATTTTATTGTGCAGTGTTTTCATTTGAGACCTGTATATGCATAATGCTTGATATGTGCGTAAATGTTAACTTATAATCATTACACAGATTAACGAGATATTGACAAAATATTGTAAAACAGAGAAATCATATTAATCAAAGTGAATGTTTTTAAGTTCTACAAAAATTATTCTTACAAAGAGCACATCCAGTAAGCTATTTGTTTATAGCATTTCGCGAACCAAAGGACATATCCGTCTCACATACAGTATCATCTGTTTGCAAATGACATGAAAACAAAGACCAACAAGGAAGTGTGGCATTCAAAGAAAGCACCAAAAAGTCCAGCAACACTAGTCGGGTACACCTATTATTTATTAGTTAAGTATGAACTGATTGGTTTTTATATAATGGCAAATACGTTGTAGTTTTATAATCATTTTTTACAGCAAAAGAGTTACGATATCATTTTATAAATATGCACTTTTTGTAATTGTAGTAAAATATCCATTTCCCATTTTTTAATTATAACTAGCTCAAATTACATTTTCACCCATTATTTTATTAAATTTATATATTTTATGATAAAGTCTTAGACCGTGCAATGAATGAAAGTAGAAGTAATGCTAGTCATATGTACGTAACTATATGTATTTGTATGTCAAGCACAATAAAATTTTGAAACAAACTTATTAAACTATATGTTTCTTATAAATATTTTGTGTAAATGTCGGGTATGCATTGATCCCTGACCTGTCTAATTCGAACTTTCAGATAAGTGAATATAATAAGAATTTCACCAATTTCAAAGAGCGCATGTCTATGTTTGTTTTTAAACCTACATATATTGTTATTCAAATAGAAGGTCAGATTAGGGGTCTATCAATTCATACAGCTTCTAAAGAAGCTGCTCTGAGGGTAAACAGAAGTACAAAATATGCAATTTAGTTAACACATGTTAAAAAATAATACGTTTTTATATAAAACATATTAAGTGGATTTCACGTGCTATTGTATTAAGTATTAGAATCAGTCGTACGGTCAAAAAGCAAAACAGTTAGTATGTAAGTAAATTGACATGTGTTAAAAAACAAAACAATATAGTTACATAAAAGAAAGCAAAAAGTAGAAAGCTCCGCCCATCGAGCCTGTATTTTATCTATATCATTATACATTCAATAAAGGTTATTTAAAAAAAGACAAAATGTTTATTCTGATATGGTCACCGAATACAGAAAAATGAAAAGAAAAATAAGGAAGGGACGGTAACATTCACTACAGAGAACATCCTAAAACCGCCTACTCACACAGGACTATCGGCAGCCAGCAGGACAACAAATGAAAATGATGATAAAAAGCAAATAATAATAATAGAAAGAAAGAAAAACACAAGGAAAAGATAGTTTGATAGTATTTTGCAAATGAAAAACAAACAAAAATACATATATATACTTAACAAAAAGCGAAAATGTTATATTTTCAGTACACCTTATTGTTTCTTGTTCGTACTGATCAAATTACAAGAACTGGGACAAATCAGTGTACCCTGAGGTAAAACTTGTGTATTGTTCTACTTTGTACTAATAACTTTCCTTGATGAAACATTAGCTTTAATTATTGATATACTTCTCTCAACTTTTTCTACGATACTATTGCCGATAGTACCGAAGATTTTGGTTTTCAGAAGTTAACATACTTTGATTTATCTGTATTTAAAAAAAGCTTTTAATTTTTCCACCACTACGTAATCACGTTTAAAATGAACGGTAAATCATTTGTAGAGTTGCCCAGTTGGAATATCAACCGCATATGAGTATTCAACATTTATTGTATGACACTGTTGAAAATCAAAATATAAAAAGGTTCGCAGGTTTATTAACACGGCGGTTATAATGGAACTTTCAATTCGACACATTTAACCTTATTAATGTTTGAAGGTATTTTTGTCCAGTAGGTTTGCAGTATTTCAAAGAAATCGTAACACATTTACTTTGGCAAATCGGCAAACTGTTTATCAGTCTAGCAAATCGGGTGTTAATAAAAATTATTTTAAACTCTAAGCTGGTTTAAATTTATAAGTACGTATTTACAAAATTAAATTGGTCGCGCGGCTGTGCAAGATCAATTCAATTTTGTAAAAACGTACTAGTAAACTTTAACCTCTACTTAAACGTACAATTATTATAGTGAATTCATTTTAAAAAATTACACCATAGTTTGTAACCTTTTGTATACCAAAAGTATCAAAATAAACAAAGATTTATAACTGTTAGAGTAAAAAGCTTTTTCTCTGACATGCATTTGATCTGATTACTTATGCAGAGTGTAATTGGAAAATAAATCACAGAGGTAAATATCAACTGCAGCTGACAATCTGTTTTTTACCCCTGGGGAAATCACATTGCTTTATCGTCTGATTGCATTGTTTTATCGAAAAGAAATATATACATGTATAAAATCGTTAAATCAAATGGGTTTAGAATTGTTTTGTTCAACATTTCTTTAAATATTAAAAAATAATGCTCTTCAGGGTATGGTATCATTAGACAGTTTTTCTTTTAATCTGCATATTTCCATTATAAGCCGTAGAACGGAAACCTGCATGAATAACGAAAGGCATGTCAATTTAGTGGAACGCTCGGTTGTCAAGCATATAGATTAATCTGATAAATTGTAACACAATCATACAAAGTGTGAAAGTCGTTGTATGATATAAACGAGAACATGCTTCAAACTTCTGAAAATAAAGCAGTCATCATTTTGTGAGTAAATATTTATTGAGCCGCGCCATGACAAATCCAACATAATGGGTTTGCGACCAGCATGGATCCAGACCAGCCTGCGCATCCGCGCAGTCTGATCAGGATCTATGCTGTTCGCTATCAGTTTCTCTACTTGTTATAGGGTTTGTAAGCGAGCAGCATTGATCCTGATCAGACTGGATCCGTGCTGGTCGCAAACCCAGTATGTTGGTTTTGTTATGGCGTGGCTCTAATATTTTTAACAAGGGAGTCTATGTTGTAATACATTTACAGCCCAAATTTACCTATTATTTTTACCTGAAAAAGAAAGACATTCTGCCACGATCTTATATTTTGAAGCTTTTTTGGGGCAAGGAGAAAACAAACAAAACAAGAACCACAAAAGATATGAGATGTTTATTTATCCGTGTATAAAACACATGTCCGTGCAGAGTACACATTATTTTTTTTTTCTTTATATTATAAGCTTTGAACAGTTTTATTTTGTTCTCCTTATAAAATAATATTGAAACACAATATTAGTCGTATGATAAACATGAAATATGATTATGCAATACATGAAATATGATCATTTAATTAAGGATATTACTTTGAAATGATATGTTATTGATAAGTCAGGTTGAATAAATGACTGTTATTTTATCTTATTCTACTACAGAGATGCTTCATACAGAAATGTATAATTCGCAGTTTACTGCATTAGTAAAATTTTGAATTCGGGCGCGAGAAATCGAACATTAGTGCGTAAACATGTACATTTGATGGCTAGTGCTTATTCAGCATATTTCATTCTTTAATTTATCAGTGAACATAGGCTTTCAATTTTAATTGTTTCGCTAGTAGGATAAAATGTACACAATATATATATATATTTTTTTTTTCGTTTGAGTGAAATATGGTATATATTTTCACGAAACATGATAAATTATGAGGCTTTTTATCATGTTGAGTGAAAATATATACCATATTTCACGAAAAACGAAAAAATAACCTTTTTATTTAATTTCATTATCAAAGAAAAATGGGTACGAACCCCCATGCTTGCTACACAACTGCAATTGTACAGCGCGCAATAATATAATTATTCCCTGCGGTCCGGAGACCGCAGGGTATTGGTACGCGTTTTACTTTTGGAGGAGCACGTGACCAGTTTTCGGTGCATGGAGGAGCATGTGATCTGTAAACCGTACACGATTGGTTAATTGACCTTTTCGATAACCTGGCTAAATACCGTTTGTCGTTACTTTACGGAATTACCTCGAAGGAATTAGTCAGAATTAAACCTAATTAAGAACAAAAACCTATTACGTGATATTTCTAATTTTCTATAATTATTTTACCGTTTAAGGTTGAAAAACTTGAATGATTTATTTGAAAATTATCATTGTTTCTTTAATATATGTATCTCAAATTTTACAAACAATAAATTGTTTATACTGAAAATCTACAAAATTAAAATATTCGTAGTGGCATCTGCCATAATAAATAGAGATATTTTCTGCGTAAACTTGTGTGTTTACTTTATTTTTTTTTTGCTTTTAATTATTCATAATATGGTAGGCCTATTTAATCATTTTCTTAAAAAGAAATAATTGTTTTATGTTCGACATTCTCCGGTCATCAACGGTCACCAGTTTTGAAAGACCCTCACGCCCCCTAGCACCGGTTTGAGCGTTACTCAATTCTCAACACGTAATAGTGCTGACATCAATGATCCCGAAGGACCAGAAAAATATAACAAAAGACCTCAGGTGCATCCATGCATTATTTAATTAAGACAGGAACGGGCAGCTGAGTAAAACCACCGACGTTTCGTAAGCTAGCTGGATAACTTCCTCATAGATTCCCTGTCGGGATTTAAATCCACAATTGTGAGGGGCAAGTGGTTTATGTCAACAAACTTTTTATAACGTAATGTTCTACGTATGAAAATGATATATTATTGTTACGAATGATAACTATTAAAATATATTAATTCAATTTTAACCCATAATGACGTATCCAAAATAAGTTTTATCAATAATCCCATAAAATTCCACTGCAAAGATCGAAGACACCACGACGTATAAAGCATACATAGATTCGAATAAGTGTATTCGTACCTCAAATTTTCGCTTATTTTTTTACCCACACGTATATCGTTATCGATTTAGATTGCAGCAGAATTATATTTTGTTAATATTGAAAAATATATTACAATCATAAGCTTTATATTAACTGAACACATCAGACACGTAAATAACTGAGAATACTGGATCAAATACTTTTTGGGTTGTTTTTCGATATTTTCATGCGCATGAGTTTACTTTATTGGTGGTCTCGTTATTTTGGACACAATTTATAATTTAGTAATGAGATTTTAAAAGCAATGTATATAATCTGTGGGAGGAAATATATTATTTAAAATCTAAGAAGCTTAAGAAGAAAGTTCGTTTCCGGAACTCCTTTTAATTAATTTAAACTTGACACGTAAACCATTTTACCATTTCAGAAAGATCCTTTATAATTATCATTTATCTTATTTTAGAATGGTCAATGAGATTTCCAGATTTCGGGTTGTTAATTTAAAATGACGAATGAAAATTCCTTTTATATTCAGTTCTTCCCTGTAATGTTTACATAAATTCAAACTGATTTTAGACTACATTTGGCCGAAAAATGTATATGTACACTACTGTTACCGAAGCATTATAATATTGATGATCGCTTGTGACAAGAAAAATAACCATAACCATTATGTTTCGGTATTTCTCTAACCTTTCACTTTCCAATATAATATTTGTCAGATATAAAGACTATATCTGTAAAAATAAGTGAACTTTAACATTTTATAGAACATATCAAGTTGTCTCTATATTAGTTTTGAGTGTATCTACATTAAT